TGCTTAGGGGTGCACTCCAGAAGGCGTGTTTCAGCGACGCGGCATAAGTGAGTTCATCTGCGCGGCATTTGAACCGAAGTGGATTTGACGTGAAGGTACTGCAGTAGGCCGAGCCAGCCAACTCGGGAATACTCGACTAGTTCCTGCGCGTCACTACGAAGTTTTATCCTCCCTCACTCAAAGCGCAATCTTGGGCGGAGCGCACCTCGAATGACCGTGGGATCAGAACGATAACCGGCTGAAACAAGAACATTAGGAGAATCAATGACGAGGTGATTAGATCGGTTCTCGAGCGCACTGCAAGAACTTTGCCTTAGGCTGGATATCTTCGGAGGAGGGAAAACCTATGACGGTGATCACGAAAGTCAGTCGATTCCGCACAACTGGACACACCGTTCCCGATGTCGAATGTCGAATTTGTACCCACAGGCGTGTGGTAAGACAATTGTAATATGCCGCGCTGGTGGGCGTGGCGGACGTCGCCGCACCCGACAGACGAGTTGTCCTGCCTGGCCGTTGAATTTCTGAAAGAGAAATAGGAACATTCGTCATTGCCCATCATGGTGCCTTGTCTCCGTTTAAACTCATAGGAGTTTCGCTGCTCCAACGACAAACTGGTTCGCATTGAAAACTTGCTGCGCATTGCTGCAGGTATGCCGCGCGCGGCGACACGACTAATTAGGGGTGTCACGTCGCCGCGCGCGGCAATCGCGGTTTTTCGCGTCGCCACGCGCGGCAAATTACGATTCCACGTCTCGTCTCCGTCCTCACAGGTCTCATAGGCTTTTAAGGGTAGTGGCAACAGAATCGTAGTTCGCCGCCTCAGTGGGCGTCGCGTGCGACGTCGCGCCGCTAATGACGACGATTTTAGGTGGTATTGGTCGAGAATAGACAATGTATGACCAAAAATAGACATAAATGTCTACCATGTCCTTGTCTACATGAAATCCGATGCTCCAGTCGAAAGGGTAGTGCAAATAAGGAAACGTCGCGTCCATTGCCGCGCGCGACGAAGCGGCAATTTACGATTCTCTTGCCCTTCTCCTGGCTTTCAAAGCATATTCACAAAAAAAACAAAAACTGACCTCGTCTTCGCCCAGCAAAGCAGCTTCTTCCGCAGATTTCGATGGCGCTTCTCCTTCATCACCCTCATCTGGACTTCCTTCCTCCTCGTCTCCCTTACGGAGTTGATCGCCAGACGATGGGCTACCGAGTGAGCCTTGCTTCGAACCGGCGTCTTTTCGTTCACCTTCCGCTGCTTTTGCTGCTTTATTGGCACTTTCTGCTGCCTTCGATGCTTTATGGTCATCGAGGGTCTTCGTAGAGCCTTGAGTGGTGGCATTGTACGTGTCTGAAGGACTTGACATCTGAAACGATCCTGAGTTTCATCGGAATCAATCAGAAACATGTGCGAGACTGTTGGGTGGGCGATGTGCGGGAACAGCGTCAGTGGAGCTTCTCCTCGGCATGCGGTGAAGCAGAAAATGTTGGCGCGCACTGACATTCTTTCCTGGTCCTGCCCATCCAACGATCTCGAACGGTGTCTTAGAGCTTGCTAGTCGAAATCAAGATCACTTGCCTGGAAGGAATCCGATGATCAACTGCTATGTGATGATACCGACCTTCTCATATCATTGTTTTCGTAGATATCCTAGAAGCACTGAAAGCAATGATATGCCAAACTCTCTTTAACTAGTTGACGGCCGGTTTCATCATGCATGAATCGAGGTCGGAATAAAGCGTGTCAGGACATCCGTCAACCGCGATGTCTCCCTCCTCCTTCATTTTTCCATCCTCCTTTCTTCTTTACTTTCCTTCTCTTTCTCTCTGTTCTGTATTGCCTCATCGTTCTCCCTTCAAATGCTCGGCCAGAAGATGCAACAAGAAAATGCGTTTGGACTCTCCTAGCGAGGCAATAGTTACTTGACAGATGTCCAGTAGCCCCAGATGAGTCGCCTATTCCTCTTTATTTCGAACTGTTGCGCTAAAGCGAGTGTTTGCTCTCAGACCTACGTACATTAACAACTCTCATACTTCCTAGTTAGTTGACTCGACTACCGCGGCACTTCAAAATTAAGTTAGTCGCGCAGTTCCTAGTGTTGGTGGTGCCGCTTTCGCAGCGCCACCAACACAGGAACTCCCAACTGATACTCGCTAAAGCTCGTTTCATGCGGCACAAGCGTCGTGACTCATCACTCCATTCCTTCGCACAAATTGTACCTGACAGGCTTTACAATAATGCAGAGCCATGAATGCAAGTGGAGCTACATGTTTGCTTCGCGTCAATTTTGTCTCTCAGGTCAACTAGTTAGCTCTCAAAAGAAAGCCCACGGCAACCGAGTGGGTGGGACCTGAAACAGTAATAATGTGCCTCTCTTATTGCTGCGCAATAGTGTGTCTGAATCAGTGAAGAGGACTAAAATATGATCAAATAGACTGTGTCCTTAGTACCGCGTTCATACTAGCCCGACTCAAGCAAGTGCACCAGACACGGCTCAACCGGCACGCAATCCAGTTGTATTGAACCGTTATGACTCGTACACTAATTGCTTAGGACTGCGGCGGCGTCCAACGGTTAACGATGGAGCACGATTGGACGCACCCGATTGATTTGCGCCAATGAACCAGTCGAGTCGCGAAGAACGAACGCGGCCTAATGTCAGCATACTGCAGGAAGTAAAGGCATTTCGCAGGTTCAATGCCAATACAATGTATTAATGGGCAGAAACGGACCGGCACGCGTTTCACACTTGCGACGACGCCTCAACGCGCTCCTAACCATTACAATCGCCAACACCGCCCTCCAACATATAGGCGTGATCGCAGACGGTAATCAATCGAAGCCGCCGGCTCATGTATTGTGAGAGTATGGGGAAGGTTGCTCAGTCACGCAGTTTAGTATGATCGGCACTGTCACTTGAATTGCGTTCGCACCTTCTAGGATTGTTGCGCTTTTGCATTTGCAGCGCACGCGTTACAGTGCGTCCACGCGCGTCATCGCGAAGGCTGAACGCTGCCTAATGACGACGCATAACGTCATTGTGAGCGATCTCTAAGGTCAAAGTAATTTCAGTGAAAATAGACAATTAACAGGCTCGATATAATTTATTTGAAACAGTTTCTATTGAATAATAACCAGAATTAACAATTTAATCGAGATCGTCGAAGATCTCTTCTGTAGCGCGTTTTTGACCTTCATGGTGATCGCATTCGGTCATGTCCGATTCTTCCGCAGTCTCGTAAGCGTCTTCCGTCTGAAGTCGTAGGAATGATGGCTAATTCGAGACATGTTATGCAGCGTTCATACTTCGCGGCGACAAAGTCTAAACGCTGCCCAACCATAAATACTCCCTCACCTCATCTCTTCCTGCATGTATCGATCCGGCTTCGAAGTCCGAGTCGGAGAAGATCTCATCTTCTTCCTTTTTCTCACCAAGTACTCCTCAACAAAACCATTTATTCACATCCCACGAAACAAAGAGCGGAGCCTTAAAAATTGTTACCTTTCAGGATATTCCCAAAAAGACCAAATGAGTCGTTTTTGTTCTTCGGAGGATTTCCAAAGAAAATTTGTCCGATTCTCTCCAGGTAGCTATGGTAAGTAGGATCCACATCCAGATGAGGCTTATACGCCTCTAACAAATGATCGAAAAGTTTCACCTAAACAAATAGGAGAACTTTGACTACACTTATCTGCTATCAAAGTTAAAATCGAAGTTTCTCACATCATGAAGATTAAGTGAATTGCAGAGCAGTCTGAGAAAGTTGAAAAGTTCATCCCGAGATCCATTACAAGACTGCGACTCATTCAAAATCGCCACATATGCTGCCAGAAGTTTGGATGCCGTGTGAACACGATGCATTGCAAGGAGCTGCAAATAATTTTCTGTAGTTTGACGGTGCAGTTCGGCTTATGGTGATGGGCGGGGGTGAGGGGGACCTTTTTCACTTTCGCTATTTCTCATCGTCGAGTTCACTGCTCTACAAGAGTTGACAGGTAATCCTTACAAGAGTTGAGAAGAAGTCTCTACGAAGTAGCGCTGGGTCTAGTTTAGCATTGGCAGTGCCGTTTCTTTTAGGGGGAAAACCCTTCGAAGGAAGGAAGGTTGAGTAAGAAAGAACTTCTTGTACCCATGATGTTTTTACCCTATTTTTCTACGTTTCACAGCATCCAGCGCGCGAAGGTGCAAAGAGAGGATTATGAACTGAAACTTGGGTTTTTTCCTAAACCCAGATGAACGAGCTCCGGGACTAGTGAAGCGCCAACCCCGAAGCTCATTCCCACCCCTGAATGGCAGGCAAAGCATTCTCGCGGAGGCAAAAAAAATTGCGCTAGTTGTTCTTTTTTGGTGGGGGAGGGGCGGGCGGGGGAGGGGGGACTACACCTACTTTTTCAATGTGTGTCGTTGTACTTTTTTTTGTCTTTCCACAGTCGTGTTCCATCCTGCTAGCCCTGTAAATTCCTGTCAAGTCTTCTGTAAACTCCCGTCAACCCCGGCGAAATGGTGTTCGCTATAGTGACGAACGCCGCCCCCATTATTTTCCAAATTTTGGCCAACCATTTACAAGTTTGACAGGAGCTTACAGGACGCCTGGAAGGTGACAAAAAGGACGGGGTGTTGACAAGGTTGCCCGGTATTCACTTATACACGGTTTACAGGATTTGGAAAGCTGACATGCACTTGCAGGTACAGGCCCCCGGTCCCCAACCTTATGAGCGCCAAAGAAGCTTTCGCAGCGTTTTCAATTCCCCTCGATAGGCTCACCAAAATGTCTGCCTCTATCGGACAAACGTATAAAATCAATGGTGATTAGTATGCCATGAAATGAATGAGGATGGCAAAAGGTATTGTAATTTCTAATATATTCATGATTGCGCACATAATCGACAAATTGTATTCCACGCGGACCGTATGGTACATGATTCATAACCACGGTAAACAGGACGTAGGCCAAGACTTTGCAGAAGGAGCAATGCCCAGAAAACCACAGTTTTCCCTGCCACTTGAGCTAGCACACCGTGTCGCCGACTCGTTAAATCAGTTGGTCCTGCGGTGAATGTCGCGCAAGCGCAAAGCCTTTTTGTCACTAATTCCGCAACATGCATGCCCTGACCCACATCTAAGAAATGACGTCCCAGATCCAACATACCTGAAGGAAAGGGAGTACACAAAACACTTCAGCTTCGGATGATTTGCTGCCTCCTTCTTCACGAATAGTGTGCAGAAGTTTAGCGAATTCCTGAAAATGTGTGACGCTGATACATCGGAGTTCCGAAAGAGCCCAATTTCTAGTCTACCTCGGTGTTGATGCGGGCAAAAGCATGTGATTTTCGAGCGTTCACGTAGTTATGATGAGGTTGAAAATGCTCGGTGCATCACATAGTGCATTCTACTGAGACATGTTTTCCGCTCTCAGGCGTCTGCTTGCAACGGCTTGCAGACCTTGATATGACGTGTAGTTCTCATATCGCCTAGCGTTATACTGGAATTATATGGGCTTAGAAAACTCGTCCAGGAACATCATAGATTACATCTTAACATGTTGAAATGATTTATTCAATGATTCCCGCGTTAGGAAGGGTAAGTTAGGATCACAAGTTGTATTTAGAGCATTGCAACGAAAAGCTGACTCAGTATCCACTTCAGATAAAAAGAATAAATAAAAGCACTTACTGCAGTAATTTTCGAACTTTTCTGACGGCTCCCTTCTGCTTTAAGTAGTGTTCCGCATAAGAAGTTCGGCAAGATCAAGGCACCTCAGCGCATTCCTTCACTAAAATATTCGAAATCGACAGAAAACAACGACGAGGACCTGACAGTATTCTTCCCTTTGGAAGCGCAAACTTTCTATGGAGACTCTTCCCAACCGAAGTTTCTGCTGAGCAAAGGTGAAGAGAGAGTGTGAAAGTGTATGTGGGGTGTCTCGAGGTGGGGCACTGGGCGTGGGGTCGCATCGTCTCAGGAGCGGGTGGAACGTCATTTATTGCTGGTATTTTATGAGCCGCGAAATTCTACACCATTGACTACTTGACAAGACTATTGCCCAGGGAAGGCCGTCTGCGACACCAGTGACGCGGCACGTGTCCTCAAAGTCAGCGGGCACGGGATTACTGCGGACGGGCGTTATACCTGCAACGTCGTTGGTGCAAGGAGGCTCGCGAGCTATGGCGAAAACCTCCACGGCCTCTTTCACAATGACGTTGCACAAACTGCAGTGCCCCTTGCTATTGCGCAAGCCATTGGTGCATAGCCATAACCTATTGTGCACTCACATTTAGACGTAACATTTATCTATTCACTTAAGGTTTAATTTGCGCCGCAAACACTCACCATCACCAACTTCTTTGTCCAGTGGCAGAGAATCGTAGCAGTCTCTACTGTTGCCTGTTGGGTCTTGCCGAAAATACAAGTGATAAACTTGATGAGCTTCATAGTACTCTCCTTTGTCAATGCAGTCCTGCGCTTTCTTCTCAAGACGGGAAGGCTGAAATACCATAAAACATTGCTTACAGTCGGGTTAATGAGTGAGCGTACTTGGTTTTGAACTATGGCACGGCAGGCGAAATTTCAAGGACCTCTGTGGAATGAAAACGAGTCATGGTTTCGTGAATGTGTGCGGATCTGGGTTCGGTAGAACTGGCTACACGCAACAGTCGACGAAAATAGGCATATGGCCACTCAGAACCGAGAGTGACGGAGGGGGGGGTGGAGGCTGGTGCCAGCTCTTCTTCCTTCTACACTGTTTGCCTCATCTGGCCAACGACGGTTGTGTACGACTATCGCAAAATTCGGCTTCACACTAGTCACGCCCTGCGATCTTGTGTTACTAGTAAGTTATCGATTGAGAATACACCAGTAGGGTAGAACGCGTAATGGGGGCATGGTTTACCATTATTCCGGAAGATCGATGACGCGATTCCTTCGAGATCGAATTCGACTTATTACCGTCCTTGTCGTCCCTGAATCGTCAATTCTCCCTGGTCGCGAAATCTCCTAAATCGCGGATGCTCCGCATAAGAAAACTTTGGGTTATCAGCCGCATCAGTTTTCTGTTTTTTCTGCACCCACTGCTTGCCGTTCAAGGACCAGTGAGACATCATGCCAGCTTTTCACAAATAAGTGTTCCTCTCGTGAAAAAGCCTCCTAACTCACATATGTTTTTTGCACCTTTTGTGTTTAGCAGCGTTACTGTCCAGGTCGCTTCTAAGTTTCGCGATGGGATCATCTAGAAATGTTCAAGTAGTCAGGTGACCCAATTCATGGACAAGGACTGACCAGAATAACGCCCTACAAATCTCAAATGATTAGATTTTTGTAATGATCACATCACTGACACACGCGGAGAACCATAAGGGACTGAGAAGACTGTCAACTGCACAGCATGGCATAACTTTTGGGGGTGGGGGGGTTCGTTGGACATGCTGCGGAGGGCAAGTGGACCCGCTTAGCTGGCGAAGCCGGTGGAGTTGGATCGGATCGGGTTCACACGAACACCCTTTCACCAGGGCGGTTGCTATTGTTCGAAAGTCGCCTCTGCGAATCGAACTGATTAGTCATTGCTTGCCCGAAGAGTCACTGTACGAGACCGTGATGATAAATTTTTAAAAGGAAGTCCAGGCCACATTTAAAAAAGGGATTGGCCAACGGCAAGGGCTTTGTCCTTTTTAGCTTTCTAACCTTTACTTGGTAAGCCAAACACTGATACTTAGCAGAAAACAAACATATCTGTAAGTTTTGAACTTATGTAAGCTCAAGAGTTAATCAGATTCAATGTAGATCCCAAAAGAGCAAAGTAAAACAAGCTAAAAGGCTGACCTGAGACATATCTTAAACAGGTTCCTATACTCGCGTAGAATGGGCCCACGAAGACCAATAATGCTACCTGAAAACATTTATATACTCCAGAAACGTATGTCCCATACGGAAGATCGGATAAACATTTAAATAGTCATAAACAATCATTTGTAAGGCGTTGGAATGAATTTGGTCTGACGCAAGAATTAGCCAACAATGCTTATGGCTACGTGAAATTGCGTCAGCGATTGCTCATCACGTCAATTTGCGTACTCAATTCCGGTCTGTTTCCATTTCGTTTTCCTTTTACATATTCTTATATGAGTAGGTGGAAATGACACATTTTCTAGATATGGGAAATCAGGCCGACTTCCTTATTCTATATGGGTCTCATACAGGTCAAGCAGAATGCATATCGAAGCAGATCAAGGAAAAAGCCGAACTATTGGGTCTGAAGCCTCGCATGTACACGTTGGACGAAAATGAGAAAGAGGTGCGTCTCTCCAACGTAGTACGCTTCATATCGTAGAGATGGAATAGGCGTGGCCTCATTTAAACATTGCACAAGATTCATTCCACTTGCGATCTTTCCATTTTACCCAAATGTACTTAATCGCAAAAGTCTGTGGACCTTGTTTGCGAAAGCTTCCTTGGGTACTGTTGAGTTTGTCCTGACTCTTCCTGTGCCCTCATTTTCTCTATACTTTGAAAGCTGTATGGTAGAAGTGCAGGTGCACGGTCCAGTACGTAACCTGTCAAGATATATGTGGATGACGTGTCATTGACGTCTCTTGAGACGTCATGACAATGACACAATGTCCGATAACTTGTTATTATCTTGTTATATGACATGTCATCTCATGAACTTGTTAGATGACTTGTAATTTCTAAGCTTTAACAGGTTGCGGATCTGCGCTACACCTGCAGCAGCTATTTTTCTGAGGTAATAAAAAGATTTTCAATCATTAGTTTTTAGTTCCACATCGAGGAGGAAAAACTCGCAGTCATTGTGGTGTCGTCCACAGGCGATGGAGATGCACCAGAAAACGCTGCTCGCTTTCTAAGGCGTATATCAAGAAAAACCTTGGAATCGAACTTTTTGGAGAAGCTTGATTATGCCCTGCTAGGTCTGTTTTACTGATCTTCAGTGTCACTCTTATTTCTCTAAAAGAATAGTGAAAAGTACACCTTGTGATCGGAGGTGATGGAGATGCACCAGAAAACGCTGCTCGCTGCTCGCAGTATTAGTAGCGAATTAAGCATGCTACCAGGACACTTTCAGAACGAGTGTTGGGTTCGGCGTCGGGCGGTGGGCGGGGCTTTGCCTTCGCTATGAGTGGGTGGGCTCCTTAATACCTTTTTGAGGTGCGAAAGTGGTACATAGTATGCGATTGTGGGGTGTAGGGTGAACTGTCTTGCGCAAGGAGGGCATATTCCTTTCAAGTAAACGACTTCCAGTACCGTACTCTTAAAAAGTCGTAACGACAAGGTAAAACGTTAGATAGAAGCAGTCTTTAGGCGAAGTAGTGGTAGGCACATTCGTTCAGTGTAATTTATATTGTGTATTTATTAGTGGGCTTC